TTGAAGAGATTGTTACACATAGATTTCCGATGGAAATGCAGATATTTCAGGACGGCAAAGAGAAAAAACAGTCAATGTTTGAGTTTACGGTATCTAGACATATTAAAGGAGGTGACGGAGAGGTATTTAGGTACGTGCCGTAAATAAATAACGAGCAGAAACAAGCCTCAGTCCGTGGAGCAGGATATATATATACTAGAATAATATAGGTGAATTACGGTTAGATTATTTATTCAGGTGTTGATTAGACAGCCAAATGTAGATTGCAAGGTAGGAAGATTCATTTGTGTAGTTTATTTTGTAGATGAGGAGGGAAGGTAGGATCTTCCTATATGATCGGAAAAAGAGCCAATCTCAGCTTACTCTGTGAAAAGTGTCATGAGACTTGATATATTTGGAAGAGATGAATGAGATATAGCCTATAATGAACCGTATGCAAGCATTTTGAGCTACTTATAATGCCAAAATTCTGGTTTTGTCGAGATGACTAACGGCTAAGGAAGCATAGTAGAAATGAGAAGAAACTAGTGCTTTCACTAAGTTTTCCTTGGTCTTAAAGGAAAGGAATTTCTTGTAAAATTTAAGCATATTTAAAGAGTGATGGATTTTACGGACTCTATCGGAATCATGAGATTTCCACTGTAGCGACGACAAAATCGTAAGGTCTAGGCTCTTTACAGTGCCCGAAAATAGGCACGGTCTGGAATGTGCATGCTCGTTATGGCGTGCCGCCATAATGCAGGCACAGTACGAAAAGCTCGCATGCCGTGCCGTCAAAATGCTATCATTTTGCTGTCGATAAGATAAATTCAAATGCAAGCATTCTGCACGCATTATGACAACACGGGGAGCTTTTCTAATTTTTTTTCATGAAATTTTATGCCACCGAAGCACTCATAAAATGTGTGCAGCGTATCGTCCCTTTCGTACCCGCAGTATTTGCATGCTGAGCATAACCTTGTTATGTCTGTATATGTAGAGTCTAAAATATCCGTGTCCGGTAAGAAACTAGGTTAAATAAAAGTTTTCCTCCCCAAATTCCCTTTCCATCCATGGCCTTAGTCTACTTATCAGTCGTCTCGTCCAAGTCCCGCTTGACGTCACAGTCCACCGTAAAATCCATTTCGTCATCATCCTGTTCCGTTCCGCAGCCACCGCATCGGTTCTCGTTACGTCCGTATTGCGTTGGTATACCTGTTTCCATTCCTTAACGAGCAGGTCTATAGGGATTACTCCCGCCACAACCAGAACGGCCTCTGCTGAGACCGTTCTATAGGCGCAGGCAACCGTCAGTGCCCCTATCTCTGTATGTTCGTTAGTTGTGCTCAGTATTTCTTGACCTCCAGCGCGTCAACCCATACCTCCGCGCCGTATAGCATAGTCTAGTGAGTCGTTGCCATAAGTAGCCCTCTTTCTTATTGTCTCGGTCCGTACGTGTTGGACATCAAAGAGAAGACGAAACCCTCTTCACCACTTTATCGGTCGTTGCTCGTATGTGTGGCTAGAAAGTTAGTTTGGTATCGAGGGTTACCTGTACATACTTTACTTTCCCTCTGGTCATCGTCTGTTCGTTCTCTATCATCATTGGGATGAGGGTCTCGGTTCTCCTCCCTGTCATTAGCATCAGTTCCGTCTTGGCCAGGGCCAGCGTCAGTCCGTGTTGCGTCAACCACCTATTGATCCATCTCATTGCCTTGATTAATAGTATTTGGGCAAGTTCTGCAGTTTGTACAATTATTACCACAACTACGTCGTCGGCGTAGGCTACCAGTTGCACTTCCTCCGAAATCTCGAGTTTCAACAGTCCATTGTACACTGCGTTCCAGAAATCTGGCCCAAGGATTGACCCTTGACCAACCCCGGCAGTGACTCTTCTCGTTTCCTGTGCGTCCGCTGTCTCTTATGTGAGCCGTGTGTTCTGTAGGTTATCCCTGAATACCTGTATGAGGTAGAGTAGAGTCCCGAAGGCTTGTAAGGCCCGAAAGATATCCATCCACCCAGCGGAGTTGATGGCGTTTCGTACGTCCAACGTCGTTAGTAGCACCAATGGTCTCGCTCCATAGCACCTACGCTTTGTCTGCAGATAGATCTCTGTTACTTGTCTTATTACTCCGATCGTCGAGTGGCCTTTCCAAAATCCGTGCTGGTTGTCTGCCAGTTCACCGTTCGTCTTTATCATGTCTATCAGTCTCGATTTTAGAAGCGCTTCATACGGTTTGCTTGCTGTATCCAGAAGATTCTGTAGGAAGACGATGCATTTAGCTGACCTTTTCCCTTGTACAGGAGAATCAGTTTTGCCGTCTTTAATTGCACGGGAAATATACCCACTCGCAGATTCGCTTTGTACATGTCGAGGAGTATACCTAGGCATACATTCGCGATCTACTTGAGAACTTTTCCAGGTTTCAGTGAAGATACTGCTCGGAGCAGCTCCGCGCAAGTGAATTCTTGTACAGGCATGTGTTATTTATCTGGGAGGTCGTTCGTTTCCGGATGGATCGAGAATAGCTCGTCGACTATCGTCCTCATTAACGTTCTGTCCTTTTGCTTCGCGGGGCCGCATTTCCATAGTTTCTTGGACACTATTTTGTAGCTAAGTTCTCAGGGATCTCTCTCCAGTTCATCGCACAATTGTCTCCAGTAATGTTTTTTACTGTCCTTAATTGCAATAGTCAATGCCTTTCATGCCGTCTTGTGCATCCGCGCAAGTTCGGCTGCGTCAAGCGTACCCCTTTCTAGGGCTCGGTGTTCTCTCCTATGACAAGCGATGTAGTTACTATGAAGGCCACCAATTTCGTCTGTCTGCCAGTACATCTCTCTTTTGTCTCATGTCTTTTTCCGCCTGGGCATCGTGACTTCACAAAGGGGAGATATCAGTTCCATTGTTTTGTCAGTTACCCATTTCGCCAGGTGCTGACCCTGAAGCTGTATTGGGGCGGCACCTAGTGGTGTGACTGTATCCAGTAGCATACCCTCGAAACGTGTTCTGTCTTGTTTGTGTATGTTCCAGTACTTTGGGATCTATCCGTTCCTCATTAACTGTTTCGTCGTAACGTTGCGTGATCTTTCACTTCAAAGACGATGTATTGGTAATCGCTAGCCATATAGTCTTCGATCGCTTACCACCGCCTTATTCGCGAGGAGATTCTGTTCGATGTCATGGTAACGTCGGGTATGGAGTAACCGAAGCCCGATGTTCTGTACGTCGGCGTCGATCCGATGTTGGCCACTGTCAGATCAAGCCTTGTGGCCGTCTCTAGCAGCAGCTTACCCCGTTTGTTCGTCTCACTCGATTGCCCTAGCGTTTAAATCACCCGCGACCACGAGATCTACCTGGAGGTTCCTTAGGGCATCCTCTAATGCTTCTGCCTTCTGTTTGAACTCGCGTATGCAGTTTGGGATCAGGTAGATGATAACGTACGTGATACCATTCACCTTCGCCCAGACGTAGTCCACGTCATATGAAAACCCTTCCACTCGCTTGTTCTTCACCAAAATAGCTAACGTGCTAGAGGTGTTCGAATATCATCCGTCCTTTTCGTCCAGGTTCCTGTACTGCTCGTTAATTATCAGGATGCATGCGTCTCGTTCCTTTGCTATTTGCGACAGTTGCCATTGAGCTATCTTGGTGCCTCACAGGTTTCTCTGTAGCACTCCTACCGTCCTTTTGTGTGCCTCTTACGCTCCTCCAGCGCAGTCCTGTAGACAGCGCACATCCCGGAACCTGGCTTATGCTCCACCTTCAGCATCTGTGCCTCGGAGCACAGGAAGCAGTCAAGTCGCTCAGATGTGCAATCTTTCTCAATATGGCCAGTCTAACCGCACCTCCAGCAGTATTGTCCTTTATCTGTCCCTTTACAGTCTGCTCTTTTGTGCCCGTATCTGAGGCATCGGTAGCACTTGCTGAATATCAATCTCGGAGCGACCCGGCAGTTGATCCAGCCGATTTTGATTCAGCCTTTCTGAGCAGCTTCTTTGCGCTGTCCGGGTCCACTTTGCACATTGTCGTACAAAAGTTCCTCTTGTTGGAACCAATAACATGACAAACTTTGAAATTTCCGGTCCCTCCTGTCTCTCGTTTCAGTGTGTCCGTCACTTCTTGTTCGACCGGGACGGAGTCCAGGTCCAGAATGTTTAGAGCCACGTTCCGTGTCATATCTCGTATGTCGCCGTTCTTTTCCAGAGTCTGTCGTAGCTTCTGCTGGAAGTTCTGTCGTTTTGCTGCGCCATTGTGGAAACGTAGTAGCAGTCCTTCGTCTTTTGTCTTGCGTTACCCCGTGATGGTCACTTTAGATTCTGCGAATATTAAATTTAAGAAGAAACCAATGTTAAACAAAAGAAATTTAATTAGTTTAACTATTCAATAAGTAGTGCTATATTAAATATCAACTGTATGTAACAATAAGCAGGGGTCAGTCATTATGAAAAATTATTTTTAACTGAAAATGTATCTACTTCAATAATAAATAGGGGATAAATTCATATGGAGAATCAGAGAATTAATTAATTTAATTAATAAATTGTACAGAGACATCGGTATGACAAAAAAACAGTTTTTTGAACATTTGACCTTTAATTGACCTTCCTAGGTCACAAATACAAACTTGTAATATCATTTTGGATGTAATTTTTTCTGCTCTACACGATTCCGGGGTCAAAAATAGGGGTTCCCATTAAAAAAAGCACTTTGATCTTCAAATGTCCTTGAAAAACGTATTAAGTTAATGGTAGCATTTGGTGGCCCCCTCTGTCCCCCGCAACTTTTGTAGAGGTCATCTTTTGACAACGTTTGTTTTTACTAGGTTATGCGCGTGGTCGGATTAAAATGAAACACCCTGTATAGTCAGGGGCACGAAATTTAGAATACTTGTTTGCTAGAGTTTGTTGATTAGTATTTATGTTATACAATTTTATATATACCTGCTTTAATAAGTATGAAAATAGATCATTTTTGACTGACAAGTGTAGTACGGATAAAATGTTGATATTAATTGTTTCAGCGGGGAGTGGAAATGTGAATGAGCCGCCAACTTTTGAGACAGGCGGCTACCCTGTTGGTAAAATTCTATCAGAAGCGACACCTGTTGGTTCAGAAGTATTCAGACTGAAGGGTCACGATCCTGAAGGTTCATTAGTCAAGTATGGAATCCAACTCAATGAAAAGTTCATTGTCGATGAGCGCACGGGCCTTATGACTTTAGCTAAGCCTCTCGATCGTGAGGTAACTCAAATGATATTATTTAATGCCAGAATATTTTTTACTGCATAAGTGTACAACTTTTTAAACTTTCCTCCTTAAGATATATATTAAAGCGTAGGATTATATCACAACTTTCATGCTAGGAAAAAGCGACTTAGTGTGAAAGTATGCAAACACTTAAGCATAGAGCCGACATTTTTTATTACAAAACATTAAAAAATCTTTTGTTCATAAAATCGATCAATGATGAAGTTGCTTATTTCGAAATATCTGTCTAGACATTTTCAGATATATAAATTGTAGTATTGTAGTAGTAATTTGCGAGTCCATTCTTCTATTTGCTATTCTCAACCGACGTCATGTGCCGTCACCAAATCGAGATAGATAGACAGATATATATATATACAGGGTGTCAATTATGTCCCGGGACGCCTGAATATTTTTTGAAGTACTTCAGTTCTGAAAAAGGTCAAAGTCATTCCTTTAGTAACTTTCAACGCGGAATCCGATGGTGACCTTGGATTTGACCTTGAGACTGACCTTCAAGGTTATTTCAAGGTCAACTTTGTTTTTTTAAATGGGAACCCCTATTTTTGACAACGGCAATCGAAAGAGCGGAAAATTTTACGTCCAAAACGGTATTTTTAAATTTTTTTTCATGGCCTTGAGAAGGTCGATTTAAGGTCAAATGCTTCAAAAACTGCCTAAAAGCGTTTTTTTAATTTTTAAGATATCGAAAAATGACCTCTACAAAATTTGTTCAGAACAGAGTGGGCCACCCAATGCACCAAAAACCTTTGACCTTTAACCTCATTTTGAAGGTCATTTCAAGGGTGAAGTGTTTTTTGTAATGGAAACCCCTCTTTTTGACCCCGGATTAGCACATAGCGCGAAATCCGACGTTTGGATAAGGTATTATGTTGAGTTTCGATTGATCCACGACGTTCATCGCTAAGGTCATGTGAAATTTAGATCCAATATTATTCGCGAAACATTTACAAAATGTTTCGGGCTAAATTTATTAAATTCTACTGAGAGCATGTTACAGTGACCTTATCTTTGACCTTTGATTGTTTGAATAATAAAGTAACGGGTTATCCAAACCGAAAGTCAAGTTGTTTTAAATAAGGAGCAAGCAGAGACATAGGTACAATTTTTTTGCCGGATAAGTTTTTTTCACTCACTGCGTTTTGAATGTTTCTTTCTGATTTCGCGCTATATGCGAATCCGGGGTCAAAAATAGGGGTTTCCATTACAAAAAACACTTCGACCTTGAAATGACCTTCAAAATGAGGTTAAAGGTCAAAGGTTTTTGGTGCATTGGGTGGCCCACTCTGTTCTGAACAAATTTTGTAGAGGTCATTTTTCGATATCTTAAAAATTAAAAAAACGCTTTTAGGCAGTTTTTGAAGCATTTGACCTTAAATCGACCTTCTCAAGGCCATGAAAAAAAATTTAAAAATACCGTTTTGGACGTAAAATTTTCCGCTCTTTCGATTGCCGTTGTCAAAAATAGGGGTTCCCATTTAAAAAAACAAAGTTGACCTTGAAATAACCTTGAAGGTCAATCTCAAGGTCAAATCCAAGGTCACCATCGGATTCCGCGTTGAAAGTTACTAAAGGAATGACCTTGACCTTGGTCTAATAATCTGTACCTAAAAAGCTACAGCCTTGTTCCGTTACTTATTTGACACCTTGTATATATATATATATATATATATATATATAGAGAGAGAGAGAGAGAGAGAGAGAGAGAGAGAATGAGAGAAAGAGAGTTGTCTTGAGTAGAGTTTTCTTTATTTCATCATGAAGTGGAATTGTGTCTGTATTGTTAGAAATACAATAGAGTTATACAATAGCTGTACGTTATTGATAATTAATTTTATTTTCTGCATCGTTTAAGATTCAGTTGCACAAAGTATTTATAATAGAGATAGATTTTTAATACAAATAAAATTTAGATAGAAATAGGTGTAGTAGATAATAATATTAAACAACAAAGAGACTATGAATAATAATAACAGATGTACAATTGTTGTTTAATTATTAGTAACGGTATACAGTAGTGATATTGAATTTGATCTTGAGTTAGCCCTCGAAGGTCCTTCCTAGGTCAAAGGTCACCTTTTTTATTGGAAGTGGCTATTTTTAACAACAACAATCAATAGAGCGGAAAATTTTACTCAAACCAGCTATAAATTAACTCCAAACTGTGTGAAGTTTGAACCTTCAAGGTCATTGTGAGATCATTTTTTTAATTTCATGTTACTAACAAGGGAACCACCCCAACACGATCTCACCGATTTGAATGATTTTGGGATATGTTGTAGTACTTGAAAAAAAATTAGATACGTGTATTTTTTATCGGCCCATAAGGGCTTTTAAGGGGTGAAATCCACCCTGAAAATCAACCCCTAAAATCAGTTTTTTTAATATTTCTCAGCATCAAATGAATATTTTTCAATAAACTCAACGTTAAAAAATTTCTTATAAAAAGGCAATTTTAAGGACATAAGATTTATACCGAAGGGTAGCAATCCCCTTGTTAATAGGGGTAAATACACTATTTTTTTACTGTTTTACGACATGTAATATAGTAAATCAGATCGAGTGATTTAAAAATCGCACTGATAATGAGAAAATACAAAAATTAAATTGACGTGTTTCCGGATTTAAAAAAAAATATGTTTAAGGCGTGTTTCACCCCCTAGAAACCACCCCCGTCAAACTATCAGCAGGTTAATCCACCTAACCCTGGAATAAACAAATTTAGTCGCTTGTTATTTCTTGAAATAATTGAATCCTATGCATGAGCGAGCTACCTCAGCTAACCAACCTGCCTCTAACCCACCAAACCCCCATAAACTACCCTTACTGAACCACATGCAGGCTAACCCACCTAATCCCGGGAAAAGCAACTTTAGTCATTTGTTATTTCTTGAAATAATTGAATTTTACACCATAAGCGAGTTATCGCAGCTGAATCACATACCTTTTATCCATCTGCCCTTAACCTATCTAACCTCCACCCTTATAAACCACCCTTACCAAACCACATGCGGGCTAACCTTATATAAATAGCGAAAAATAAATGTATTTCTTGAATAACATTCATGTTGCATAACAATGTCCCAAGTATTACAAATTTTATGTAATAATTATTATTTTCTTCTCATTATAAATACAAAAAAGATAAAAATAATTAATAACGGCTTATAAATATAAGATTTGAGACTAAAATAAATTATAAATAATTATTAACTATTTTGTTTTTTCGAAATTAATAATAACAGTTATAGTATCAGTTTTTTTAAATATTATTTGCATTGTATTACATATAGCTGTGTATAAAAGAGTAATAATAATAGATATTATTTTTTAAACCTAAAGTTAATTCGTAATAAAGAAAAATAACAACTAATAACAGTTAAAAATTATCAATTTCAAAAGTGGAAGTTTAATATAGTTATTATTTCTTTTTTAATCATTTACAATTTGTCAATGAGAAAAGAAATTATAACAAATAATTGATAATATTAATAGTTATAAATAGTTATTATAGTCTCAATTCCTATACTTATAAACTGTTTCCTTTTTTCAATTTTCACTTGTGGTTTAGTTTACTTTTTGTTGGTACTTTACTTTGCTGTACACCTTATCTTATTTACAATTTTGTCTTATCAGTGGCTCGAAGAAGATAAGTTATATCAAATCTCCACCCCTTACAATAATAAGACATCCGAAACATATTTCATTATTCATAGTAGTTGAAGAAACGTCAAGTATTTAAAATGTTAAAGTTTTTTTATAGTGCTGGATTTATAAATAAACTTATTTCTAAATTTACATACAAATTTCCTGAACACGAAAATATAGTACATAACAAGAAGAAAAGTTGTCTACTTCGTAAGTATTTATGTCACTTATCATATATAATTTTATTCAAATATTGTTATTTGTAAACATGTGAAATATAACTGTTAAAAACGTATGATCGAATTCCATCTATAGACTAGGTTTTCTTTTGGCTTTTGTAAAATTATTCAACTGCAAAAAAGAGTATTTATATCTTAATTTTATTTTAGATTAAAACATGAAGATCAATCATTTGAACGTAGTCAATTTATTATTAGCATATTTTCAAAGTTTACGAATACCAGATAGCGAGATTAATTTCAAAGAAATTAAATTGTCAGAAAAGTTGAAAGAAATATTAATAGATGTCGTGTATGAGTTTAAAGATATTGATATGATTGTTGAAGAGACGTTAGATTTTCATGAAGATTATAAAGATATTGATGCTAAAATAATCGAAGATGAAGTTCAACATCACTTTCCTGATCCTGATTTTGTACCAACTGTAACGAGCGGGTTCGTTAAAGAGCGGATGAGCGATTTTCGAAGTAGCGCGCCATGCGCAAAAGACCTGCGCAGCGAGAAAGAGAGAGAGATAGCTGGAACGCGCGGGCCGCAGGCAGGGAGAACACGTGAAACCGGCAAGCGGATAACACGCGATCGGAATCCTTTTTATTTTTTTGTGTGGAAAAATCGAGCGACGTATCGTTTCTGCGGGTTGAGAATTTGTGAAGTGTGAGCACGGTGACTGCGGAAGGAATAGAGCAGAGATGGACGTGTGAGGACGAGCGAATCGAAGGCCGCCATTGGAATAGGAAGAGCCGACTCGTCGCCCACAATCCACGAGGATCGACCCACAGGCCTCCCAGCCTCGACAACCCTGGGCGACGACCTTTGCATAACCAGGCCCGAGATATAAAGCGAAGCTGTCTGCAACAGCGTTCGTTCGTGTAAGTCTCCTCCTTTGTTTCCCGGATTGCGAGCGGGAGTTCCGACAGGCGAGCGCTTGTAAACAGCGTCGGCTGCGTGTTGATCAAGTTTGTATTTTCTGTCTCTCTCTGACGCGTACGTACGGTTAGGTCGTATACCGTGAATCTCTCGGCCAACGTGAGTTGTCGCGCCTATGTAGTTGTAAAAAGCGAATAAACCCGGCAAAGATATATTAT